TCCCTTTTATAGATTCTTATTAAGGTAGTCGTATAGCGTTTATAGTTGCTTTTTATTTAAGTTATAAATCTTATAGAACGTTAGCATTATTCTATCCTTAAGATAAATTTCGTAGTCCTATTAGCTATATTTAAGTAACCCTATCTTAAGTTCTTCCTTAAAGAGTTTATTATATTTCCGGTATTTTTATAGGATATTCTTTATTCTATCTTATAGGCTTTATTCTTTCTTTTAAGAGCTAGTTTCCCTTAACTTAAGCTCTTTATTAATTTATTTAAGGTCTTTCCTTAAAGTAGTAATAACTCTTTAGATCTTTATATTATATCCTTTATTCTATTTATATTAGATATTAAGTTATATAGCTATATTAGTTAGTATATAGGTCTTATTAGTCGATTTTATTATATCTACTAGTTCGGTTACTATTTTCGTTTATATCGCTAAAGCCTATAATAATTTACTTAAACGGTTATCTTTTTTATCTTATTTAGTAGCTAAATTATTATAAAATTTTACTTTCTTTTAAATCTACTAATCCTAGAAACTTATATCTTTATTTTAATATAGCTAGCTAGTTTTCTAGTTAATTAGTAGGTTGCTCTCTTATAACTATAGAAGCCCTAATATAAGGTTATATTCTTTAATATCTATAATATTAAAGTTAACTCGTTCGTTATAGCCTTAGATATTAATATTAAGGTAATTAATCTCTATATTAATAATTCCGTTATTATAGTTAAAGGCCTCTCCTTCGATATTCGTAAGTTTATATAGATCTTTCTTATATCTTTATATAAGTCGGTAACGATTAACGACTCTAGGTAAAACGTAATTACCTATCGCGCTATAGTCTAAAAGTATACGTACGTAATATCCCGCGATTTAGATATCTAATACTATTTAGTTGCTATAGCTTGCCGTTGCTATATATAGGGTCCTTAGATCTTATCGTATTATGCTAGTCTATAGCACCATGGCTTGCATGCGTCTCACGTCGGCTTGACTTAGGAGGCTGGAACGCTCAGGGCCTGCGCAAAGGGCAAATTGGCCGGGTCTGGATAATGCCGGTCAAGGTGAACGCGGCCATGACGACTACGTGAGCTATCAGGGGCTTGGTTGGACACAGGCTTCGTACTGCCTCGCAGAGCCAAAAACCTGGCTCTCACCTGATCCTCCCTGATCTCGGCCTCGTCGGGGCTGCTGGTCATGAACATTGGGGAAAGGCAGAATTGTCGGGCGGAGGGAAAGAAACACAGGATATATTACGACGCGTATGATTAGAAACAGAAAGCCTGCCTCACCTTTGCCACCCGTATTCGCAGCAGTGTGATCTCAGGACATGACGGCACACCCAAGACGAGCCCAAGCTCACACGTAGTTTTCTGATGAAAGATTGGATTGTAGACCCAATCCATGGCACAGTTCTGGCATCCCAGTCGGGATGATCCAACGGGCGCAATCCCATCATAAGTCGGGATGATCCAAACAACCCGTAGAACTTGGTAGGCCCACGGAACGGTGGACGTCCCACAAAGCCGTGGGCAGCCCGCAGGGATGTGATCAGCCCGCGGAATCATGGACAAATCGTGCGGGGCTGTCACATGATAGGTGACTTGGGACCTGCCTGAAGTGTTCGTTCATTCACAGCGCTCAGCATTATTCGTATTCCTCGTTCTAATGCCAAAGTACCCAAACGAGTCTCTGCCTTATACTTCCTCTAGAATATTGGGTCAGCCGCAGACAAACAATAGAACTGCAGCCGGCTGCCTAATTGAATGCCCGGCCGGCTGCCCTTTTGACTACGCGGCCTGCTGCCCTGTCGGCTTGTGCGCCAGGCGTACACCGCTCACTTGTGTGCGCAGTGCGGCCCATCAAACGACAGTGGATGTACCGTGGTCGTTTCCGCCTCCGGTTAGCACCTCGGATGCTGCTTAAATGAAAGAACATTAGGACGATAAGACTCTCGTTCTAGCTAATTTACTATCGTCCATGCAACTCCATGCCCGTCCCCGCTTTCTTTCGCCATGTGGTTCCGTTCCCCCGCCCAACATGTCATCGTTGTCATCTGTGCCTAATCTCTGCCGCGGTTTAGGCTGAAGCAGAGAAGCTGTCCCCACCTCATCAAAACCCTGTCGCAACTTCATGCATTTCAATCTGCTCAATCTGCTACCTCGTTCATGCTCCGCGCCGATTACCAGGCATCGTCATCAAACGAACTATGAGAGCGCGAAACCAAAAGCTCGTCTTAGTACCTCGAACTTTCCCTGCGACGCAGTCTGCAGCACATTCAAATGGTAAGTCGCAACATCCAAGCAGCAGCCCTTATCTAACCTGTGTCCAGAGTCTGCAAGTCCGACCACTTAAAAAGGCGGCAGATTTTTTCGAGAACGGCCTTGAGGCCGTACCAACAGTGATAGAAGGCCGTGGACAGACTCTGTATTGGCAAGGATGCACCGTTTACATCCGAAGCAAAGACCGCCAGGGACACGTCGGTTCTTGGCAGGAATTCCCACACCGTGCAGGTGAAGCCGTTGTCGACAGCAGTGTCGATTTGTACTTCTCCAGCGGGAAGTTGAAAAGCTAGAAACACCCACCTTCACCTGTTAGACCCTAAATGTACAGCTGCTTTCTTGTATGAGAAGCTTCTGCCAGGCCCAAGTTCAGTGTTACGCAAGCACCATCATTTGCATTGCTGGAAATAATCATCGAGACACACCCAGTTACGTGGCTTCTTCCCAGCTGTTCTTCCTGTCGATGATATTCACTCTTGACGATCGCCCAGGCGGCATTGGGGCCAAACATTGGCTCAATAGCATCGGGTTGGCAGTCCAAAAGAGTAATCTCGGGAGTTGGTACGATGCGGGATCCGTTTTGTAGAACGATATATCTAAACTGCCCATCTGTTTCGACATTGACACCAAAAAGGTCACGAGCGCAGCGCTCAACCTTGTTATTCACGATGGCTAGAGTCATCGCGCAGTCTTTCTTTTGGACAGGATTTGGCGGGAAAATCATCGTAATGGCGGCTGTCGTAGTGAGCACACCTTCGTGGTTTACCGTGTCCCTTCTTATCGCGCTATCCATGTATGGGGGGAAATATTTTGACGTCGCCTAAGCAGAAGCATGCTCGAATCGGTATTTATGAGCGGTAACTGGATTCAAAAAGTGTAAGGTAGAATCACCCGTATTTAATTCACGAACTTCGTCGTTGGGATTCGGCGGAAAGGCTGGAGACGTTGACTGGGGCTGCTCTCCTTGGCTATCTTCGTTTGCTTCCTCGACCCCTGCCTGCTGGTTAACATCCTGTCAATGACGAGTAGAACTTGGCTTACGGCGACGTTTAGCTCTCTGTTGCAGGTCATCAATCGCCTCTTGAACGCTTGGGTCAATACTGACGGCTGCTAATCGCCTTGCGGCGGGTCTCTGATCTTCTATTGGGAGGGCCTGGAAAGCATCCATGACCTGCTTTCGGGTTCCTCTGGCGTCACGCACTTTCCTCGTCGCAAGGAAAAATGCCAGCCAGACAGCGAATCCTCCCTCGGCGGAGAAAATTTGAGCTGTAGATCGTTGGCCGTCGTGGGGAGTCGCAGAAGCCTCACTCCATGCCTTGTAAAACCCTTTCGGTACTCGTTTACGCGTCCACTTCGTCTGAAGGTACATAAGGCAGCAGTTGAAAAGGTCTTCAACAATCCGTTGAGTGTCCGGGTGATGGCCTGGTAAACCGTCGGATGACATCAATGTTGCGGATGATGGCGAGGGGCAATGATTGCGGGCGTAACGGGTCGTGTGAGGGACGATACCTAGGGACGATAGCGAGGTGATCAGCCGCACTATAAATAAAGTCAAGGATGGAGAGGGGAAATGAGTGTAACACGTTACATCATCGCCAGTACCTCTACGCGCAGTCCGTTCTGGGGGAGCATCGCGAAATGCGAGTGACGCAATCAAGCCTTAACGTCCAGGACCTCCAATGCTATTGATGCCGAGCGTAGGCCGCATTACTGCATGGTACGCAACACACCCTGGAATATTGCTTGAAGGTCGGCGAGCCCACTCTCAAGAATTGAATCATTAGACCTTCTTCACACTCTGTTTCGTCGTTAAGGGTGCTTGAGTCCTTGACATCCTGCCTTCCCCGCCTTCCTCTTCCCCCTTGCCAGGAGCTGCACCAAATAATGTTACCCTGTGACCACATTTGCAGCCGTTTGGCAGTGCAGCTGGTGAGCCGACCTGCTCATCGCACTTATTCACAATAGAAAGACCCCTAGGCTGCGAGTAGTTATCAATTGGCCCGGAATCCAGGCCAAACTCCCCATATAACACGATGCAATTGTCTATAAATACGCCGACACCGACCTTCTCCATTTGCCTCGTATCGATCACCTCAAATTACCTACCTTTGATCTCCGTTTACTTCTTCACTAGCGCGCATTTCTGTCGTCGGTAATTGTCTTCGAGGTGTCTCCTGATGCTCGTTTGTTCTACTTATACGACAATAGATGGTAAATATTCAAGTTGATGCTAATTATGCTATAGATTGAACTTACGAGATTATCGTCGTTATGGCTTGTGGATGCGAGCGACGTATAACGAAAACTTCCTGGCAGAATTGCACTGCCACTCCGAAGCATGTGCAAGAAAAAATTACGTTGTTTACATGTAGCCAAAGGCAGCATACGGGCTACAAGGATGTGTACACAGGATCAAGTTTGATCAGGAAGCCAGGCCACATATGCCCTAAGTGTTAGGAAGAAGGGCTTCTTTCGGCTCCAATCAGTCTGCGACGTGTCGCATTCAGGATATACACTCGTTGCTCTCGTCGCATTCTTCCAGAGGATCATCTGATCCATCTCAAATTGTTCCAGCTAGGGCAGACGGACTTCAATTTACATGTTGACCCTTACCTTCCAATTTCAGCCTCTGCGAGACGATCTGCGCTGTTAATGGTGGAAGGAAAAACAGGCCGCAATGGGAACAGTTTGTTGGGTGATTGAACAAACTCAGTAGAGAACAATGCAGTTCGGATTAGCAGCTATCAGCCCTCCGCAAGCCCTGGCATCCGTTTCGATAGATGTCGTTATGTAGAGCTGCTCGATAGCTCTAACGTCTTCCAAGACCTCACTTGCTGACCTATATTGTCGCTTCCAGCACTTTCGAGTAATTTTTGCATAGGCGTGCGAATCATCCGGAAAAACACCGCTCGCAAATCGAGACTGCACTCTCTCATCCCACCGTTCTTCTCCGGCGATAATATCTGAGAAGACCTCATGCCCGGTGACAATAAAATGAATTGTTGATCCAAGGGCGAAAAGGTCTGTTTGCCAACTAGCCTCGAAATCATCTTCTCGGGGACAAAAGTATCTGCAAGGCTCGCCAGCACAAGCGTGCATGACGACTTCACCTCCTTCGGCGAGATAACAACCCTGAAAGTCGGCTAACTTGATGTGAAGATTTTTATCAACTAAGATGTTCGTAGGATTAATATCACAGTGGATAACCCTCTTCGAATGAACGTGTTCAACCGCCTCGACAATCTCTCGACACCAAGCTATACGCTGCTGAAGCGAGGGAGTGGGGTGCTCCGACTCCAAAAAAAAATTGAAGATTGTCCCGTTTTCGGCACGCTCAAGGTATAGTCCATGGTCTGTCAGCCCCTTTGGCGCAATGATCCGAGTATGGCGGCCGACTATTTTGAGAAGCTGATGCTCGTGCTTGAGTCGGGACATGTCACCGCCCCTTTCGAGGGTGTACTTTAAGACGGTTGAGTCGTCGACTTCGCCAATGAAAGCACTAGTTCCGGAAGCTAGAATACGGCGGACTCCGTGGGGAAAATAATGGTGATATTCAACCACCTCAGAATCTGATAGGTTGGAAGACATGGTTTAGGCCCGTACGAGAATGTGTGTGTGGTGAGTATGGAAAGGGGCTTGAAACCGGGCTGAGCTTATTTAAGTTGGTATCTTAAGCCGCGGGCGGAGAAACCTTTCTCCAAAGATGGATGCCAGCTCTAACCCGTCTTGCTGTACTCGTGCCCGCCCCCACTTTATTGGGATTCGCTTTGGCTCACCCACAAAGTGGGGGCGGGCACGAGTAGAAGACGAATCGGACGAGCCAGTTGACAAGCCGCCGTAAGACCAGCCGGCGGACCAGCCAGCAGACCAACCGCTTTTAAAGAAGCTGCCGACATGTAGCAAATGCCATAGAGAGGGTCATAGAAGAGGCGCAAAGTGTTGTCCTATAAAGAATAGTAGCAGCCCGTAGATAGCGGCGCCGCAGCAGCGCCGCAGGAAATTTATTGTGGACGTTACTGACTAACTGTAGGGGCCCGTGAGTGCACGGACCCGCGAGCCTACAAATGGAAGCCGAACCTACCAGCAGTACGCGCTACGATCAAATTCGCGATGGCAACCGGGAGACTAGACACGGACCAACGATGACAGTACTAGCAAACCAGAGTGCACAGTACTAGCACCATACAGCCTCTCATTGACAGACCGGGCTTCAGCTGCTGAGAATAGGATGCTGAACACTTGGAGAAATGTGCCTTCATGCAGGCCTGTCAACGGCGAAATTGGAGGCTGAAATGTACGGATAGGAGCAAAATGGCCTTCAAGCAGGCCTGTCAACGGCGAAATTGGAGGCTGAAATGTACGGATAGGAACAAAATGTGGGGCTTCTGGGTGTTGCAGTCGAAAGTGGAGGATCTGTAAATAGCTTAGTGTCGCGGCCCTCTAGGGTTGGTCCCTCCGGGCGGAATAAATTGCATTGCATTGCATTGGCTCCCATGGGGGGGAGCCTAAGTCCCTTAGTCAACCCCCCGAGTATTCGCTGAAAGAACTTTGACACGTGCTGGACGTAAAAAGGTCGAACTCTTGTAGTGCAATCAGCCTTGCAAGCCATCTCAACATCAACTTTCGTGTTCATGGACTCAAGTCAGGGGCTCTCAGCTACCCTGTGCCTGAACAAACTGAAAATGCTGCCACCACAGGCGGCAAGACCAGCTGTGCATAGAGACAGTGACACAGGCCATGTTGAGAACTTTGGACGGCGTCAATGGTGGCTGAGGCTGAGCCAGTGGAAAAAGCGACATGTTTGCCTAAGGCATAAGGTTAAGGTATGTATCGCTGGGCCGGATGAACTTCGGCCCGACTTCCAGCCACGCCACGCGCTCTTCCGAATCAGCAAGCTGTCCCTTCGCGCTTTTCGACCCATCACTACTTCCTTCGGGCCCCTAATCCTCATTCTTGCAGCATCCCCATGATATCTTACCTTGCTGGCGGTGTCCGCTAAGCCTGTCAATCACAACTTATTCCGGAATCGTCACGGATTTTCCACGTCGCCGGATCACATGGCTACTTTATCGGAACATGATCGCGACATAATCGCGAGCCATCCCTTAGGCAGCTCTCTGGACCACCTAAGGGAGTCACTTTAGGATGCCGAGCAATCCTACTCCTCGACCTCTGGTCCCCATGGCAATTCCGACAATTCTGAACAAAATTGCTAGAAGGCAATATCCCAACTCCTCTGCTTTTATAGGAATAGAAGCAGCTCCTGGTCTCGACTTGAACATCAGCAACCGAGATGTCATCACCGGACTGGCAGGTCTCGTTAGACGCATCCGAAAAGGAGATGTCGACTACAGCTACTTCAGCCCGCTTATGAGACTTGTCCTATAAAAGGCGTCTAACTTTGAGATCTGGAACGCCGTACTTGATCTGTCACCACTCTCACCCGGGTAACACCTCCTACAAGCGTTCCTGCGACATTCGACAGCACGCCCATTACCCATTCCTCCGCTTCGCAGCAAGGTGCCGAACAGACACGAGAGGTGGTGGAAAGAAAGGTCTTTAAGGAGATCAGATTCTGCACATACCGCGACGTAGGAGGATTCTTTAAGAAATACTTCGAGGGGAAAAGCTAGACGCGCCGTGCCTTAGACGTCTATAAGTCGACGAAGGATTGGCACGCTAATAGCGTGTGGACCGATCTTCCTGACCCGCCCGTATAGGAGGAAGTTCTAGACTGGTGGTTCCGATTCTAGGACGACTTCCTCTCGGAGGAACGACGCCGCTACTATTCGACCACGAACCCGAAAGACCTTATCGGTGCCGAAGCTCAGCGATAAATCAATCTCTTTATCAAGAAAAAAGATCGGCAGCCGCTAGATAGCGCGCACGACTAGAGGGATGTCGAAGTGATTGGTGAGCTTAAGGCGTCTAATAATAAGAAAGCGACGCTTCTCTAGATCGGCCGATACGCTCGAGATGTCTTCTCCTGCCAGCCGACGCGTCGGTACGTTCACGCGTTACAATCTGCGGGCGCGAGATGGAGGTTTAGGTATTTGACCGCTCGGGATGTTATAGTCCTAGCGCGTTCGATATCCATAAGAAGCCCTAACTATTCATCCAGGTAATCACCGGTTACGCAATGATGGATAACGAAGAACTGGGGTTAGATACGTTTATAGAACGGGATGGCGACGGTCCTCTGATACACATTGACCAAGACGGGACTTCAGGCAGGAAGAAGCTGCGGTTGGAGTCGCAGCCTTTCACCCGTCAACGAGCAATCGTCTGCCGTGGGACGTCTTGCTACCTCACGAAACCTCCGGAGGTGAACTGGGCAGCCGTCTGGTCGAAGGCGGTGCAGTATGCGCGGAAGACGGCCAGCTTTGCCTGTTGTGCTTCCATCTGGCTGGCGATGAGTCTCTCTGCCGCGTGGGCAATCGTTACAGCTGGGCCTTGAGCCTCGGGCAGGTCGTCCGGCTCGTCGGTCTCGATTTCGTCTGGTGCGTCTCCCATTACAGCATCTAATTGGTCGGTGTCGGTGTCGGTGTCGGCGCTGTCGCTGCTCGTGGAGCCGAATGGAGAGTCGTCGAATTGCTGTGCGCATCGTCGCAACTATAATTCGACAAGACCCGCGCATGGGGCCTGCCGGAGGAGCGCTTCTCCAGCTCCTGGGGTGTTCGTGGGAGTCATCGGCTCTTGTTCCTGGGGCGGCAGTCGCGCCTGGTCCGCGGGGTTGGGTGCCATCGCCGCCCTCAGCTTGCGCTGAGCGTGGTGTTGAGAACGCCCTTGTTAGCGGATGTGTGTTGTGTACAGCGAAGTCCTTAACAGATGATGCCAAGAAAGTAAGAATACAAGGGAGTGTGGAGGAGTGTGTTCACCTTTGGGTGGTGCGAGCGCCAATGAAGTGGGGCGTGGCACGAGTAAGGCAGCGAATGGAAATTTGCAAATCACGCCCTGTCCTTGCTCGGCTCTTCCCGAAGTCGTAATTCTTGGGGATTGAACATCTCCCAATACTTTAATTTTCGCGGCCGAGACATGCTGCTAGCGGTCGGAAATAGAGGGTCAAGGGACATTAATGTCTGCCCTAGTACTGGCTTCTGCCGCTAAGGAGGAGTTGTCCGGACGCCTGAGGCCGGGAAAGCACGCCGTCATCTGCCTTGGGGTATTCGTGGCTGGGCAAAAATCGGCCGGCATGGATGTGGTGATGCCTATGACTCACTCACAGGCTGCGTGACTCCCCAATGAAACACGAGACCCTGGCAGGGACGATGCCCCCCATCGCCATGCGGCTCTTCTTGTCCAGCAAGTAATCCATAGAGTATTACTATTCGGCCAAGTGGAAATCTCTATTCGGCCAACAGGGCCCGTGCGGGCCCTGCCTCCCCGCAGCCACACCCGCACACCTAAATTAGCTGCGCGCGCATGGCACGTAGCAGTGTAATTCCCTACGCATTCTCTTTAATTATATAACGCGCACATAGCTTAATTCGACCAAAAAACGCATCTTCGCGATAATCGCGAGATATACGTACAACACGGCCCGGCTATTAGTCCGGCCTAGGCTGCGTGGCCGGGATTACCTCCTCCACCGACGAGGCTGGCGGAGCCTTTCCACCCCTCGCCCGTCTCCCTCGAGATCCCCTTGCCCTAGTTGTTCCGCGCCCTCGCGATCTTTCTGCTAACGCCCGGGCAGAGCCCTGACTATCCCCATCTATCTCTGCCTGTGTACGTGTGCGGCGCATACTTGCGTTGAGCCGGCGAGTGCTCGCCTAACTCGACCGCGGCAGCCGCCTTTGCGTGCCTCTTAGTTGTGATGCCGGCTGCGAGGTAGGCTGCGAGTCGGGCTCGAGGGCATCGTTAACTTAGTCCTGGCTAGGCTATAGGTCTTGAGGCATAGGCAGGCGAGTATTCTTAGCTGCGCGAGACCGGCCACGGAGGTTTTAAATAACGTTAGGATCTTAGATTCGAAGAAGTAGCTCGTCGAGGTCCTATAGGTAAGGATTAGTGTAATTCGTATAGAAAATAGGGTAGGTCTTTACTAGAGGCTTCTTAAGCTACTACCGAGGGTAAATATTATACTTCGTAAGCGGAATATTAGCTTAAAGGCGTTAGAAGATTATATAGGTATAAGGAAGCCCGTGCTACTATATAAATTAACTCGTATAAGGAGGTAGCGGCCGTAGCTCCCGCTCCTACCCTTACTCTTATCCTTGCCCTAGCTTTAAGGGCATCGCGGCTAAGGTAAGTCGGTATTACTTAGTAAGGAGGTTAACCGCTTAGTAGGTAACTTTAATATTTAGCCTACCTAGCTATTTTTAGCTAAGATAAAGAAGCTATTACTATGCCTTTTAGCGAGCTGCCTCCTAAATATAGTAGCGTTCTTTATTTATAAGTATTTATTTAAGGGCGTTATAAAGGTAGAAGAAATCGCCGGTACTAGTAAGTAAATATAACTTTATATCTTTATAGGTAGTCTTAACTAGGCTATTATTATAGAGTAGGTAGAGGTATAGGCTTAGGTACGGTCTATTAAAAGAAGGTTAATAATCTATAAGGGGGAAAAGGAAGAGAAGTATAGGCCTAGCCTA